AAACTTAAACCGCATAAACACATTTCATTACACCAAATACACCAAATAATGTTCTTTTTAGCAGCATCATATGACCCCTTTAATGTATTTGAGTAAAATATATTTAAAATATTTACATATATATATATATATATATATATATTAAAATATATTTAAATAATTAAAATCTAGTTACACTAGAATAGTTGCCTAGTCTTCTGCAAAAATAGAAATAGACTTTTACTTTTTAAATGCATATGATGCCTGACATCTAAAAGAATTTCAACCATACACACACACAAAAAAAATCTTAACATTATTAGATACTATAGCAGTAAAGTGATTACTTGGAGGTTGGCTTTTATTTGAGATACAGTGTGTTAATATGGCTGAGTTTTCAGAGTTACAATTGCCCACAAACACTGTTACAATCGCCCCACCGGTTTCCCCTATCAAATGCGTGTTAGTCTGTTGAAAGGCTATTACAGACATAATTTATTCGGTGTGACAGTTGCTCAGGTGTTGCTTTGGCTGGTTGCTATGGTGTTTTGGATAATAGCTGGGTGGGATGCTAGGCCTTGCTGGGATGTTTTATCTTATATAAAACCAGGCTAAAGTAGGGCTGTCGCGGTGAAGGAATTTCCCTTGCGGTAATTTTGAGTAGCTCAATATGCGGTATTATCGGCATATATATATATATATATATAATTTGTGTGTGTATGTGTTATGATATAACTAACGAGGTCATATTCAGAAACCTATGAAACTGAAACCAAATAGCGTTGAAACAGGAAGGGAAGTAAACAGAAGAGAATGACAAAATAACGATCCACATAACAGAACATAACCCTGACAATAAGATTGTTAGGCTATTGTTATTCTATATGTATAACAGTTCGTTCTGATCCTTGAATCCGACTGGACAAGAGACTTTCTATTGATATTTCCACCTGTGCTCGTTCTAGACGTTGTAGCTCGTTTCACAAATATATATGACTCGCAAGCAGGGATTGAAATGAACTTTTTCACTCCCCAGCCAATTTGGCTACTAAATTTTTAAGTTGCCGGCCGTCTTTATAACGTCTACCCCC